ATTTATATATATTTATTTATATATGAATATAAATAAAAGAATTAAAATTTGTAGGCGATTTCAAGAATGACCCTCAGTTTGGGATTGACTGATAATTAGACCTGAGTTTTGGGGAACAATGACTCTATGATGTCGCACTGAAAGCACATGATCAAAAATGTTTAATTAAAAGAGTAAAAATTTTAAAATGGACCTCTTTAGATATTGTTATGCTATTTAATTAAACGTCTCAATTTAAGAATTATCTTGCCGAGCATAACACAGAAGTCAGTCTTGATTCGGTACATGATCCTAATATCTAATGAAAAAATGCCTGATAGAATTTTTAAAGAAAATTTTGCATAACCAAAAATACCCACAATTAAAGTATATGATATATACCTGGTACACAATATAATAGCAAAGAATTTTAAAGAGCTCATGATCATAAATAGAACAGATTTTTTTCTTGGAATTTTTAAGTCTGTGAATTTGCTAATTAAAGTAGTTTCTCAGGAATAGCTAAATGCAGCTTATTTGTCAAAGCTTGCCGTTATGCTTTATGTACAGATGTAAAGCCTCATTGCTCAGAGGCGGGGCTTTCGGGAGGTGATTGGGTTATGGCTTCCTGGTACTCGTGACTGGACTGGTCCACTGACTGTTTATAGTTAAATGAGCTGTTGGGAGGAGGAACCTGGTTGGAAGAGGAGGTCACTGAGGGCGTGGCCAGGCAGGGTTTATCTCCCTCCTCCTCCATCGATCTTTCTGCTTCCTGCGCTCTGCCCTCAGCTCTTTCTCCTCTTCCAGGGCCCTCTGCCACCCTGTCCTGCCTTGGAGACAGACAGCTATGAACTGAAACCTCTACAAAATTTGGGCCAAAGTGAACCTTTTTAAATTGTTGGGCATGATGTCTCAACAACAAGAAAGTGACTAAGACCCCTGCTGAGAGTATGATGTGTTCCACATTAAAGTATTCAAATTATCTACAGTATATTTCTTCTTCTCTTCCCCCTTATCATTTCATAACCATGACCCCTACAGCCTCATTTCCCTAAAGCACACGCTAATAGAAGACAACTAGAGATTCAGATACATAGTGCCACGTGCCACTGCATTTTGAATTTAGATTGCTCCCCAAATATAAAAACCCATGCAGTAGGTACCACAGGGTTATTACTGTTTCTAAAATGATTACAAAGGTTTTCTTTGACATCTCTGAATCAAGCAATTCTGTTGTGATATAAAGTGAAATGAATCAAGTGCTCACAAGATATACTAAGGCCCTTTGTTCAGAATATAATATAAAAGTGAAACTTTTTACATCCGTATGATCCATATTTAGGAAAAGAAAAATTAAGAGCCTTCCAGTTTAAGTAGAGTTATAACTATACTTTCTTAAAATATTTGTCCTCTTTGTTTTTATCCTTAATGAATTAAAAATAAAATAATGCAAAGCAAAGAAGAAAAGCCTAACACTTTTCCAAAATGGTCATTCCTTCATCTTCATTCTGAACACGATCAACACCTATAGCGTTTGAAATAGAATATATATCATCTTCCTTTTTAAATTCCTTTGAGAATTATCTTGCTCATCCATCTTCCCTGTTAGGTATTTTTATCTCTTAATATCCTTGTTACATCAGGGCATGAGGCAAAACATTATAGCCCTTTTGGTACTTCCAAAAATACGTGTATAATGACATTGTATCAGTACATTGGGGGCCCTGTGTTCTTTTGCGCTCATAGAATAGTAAAGTGTGTAGTCAACATACTGACGTACTCATGAAAATATGCTGTGTTTTGCAGTTTGATAACTTCTGGTTTCCTTCTTCACGTGTAAAATCAGGAGAATTAAACAATAGTGACAGCTGGACTGTAAAATCAAGACAAAGTGCATCTACCCCTTCTCAGGGGAGCAGAATGCAACAGAGTCCCAGGGCAGGGGAGCAGGCAGCCAGCTGGTGTGGTATTGTTTTCCTCCACTAATTTCTGGCTTGGGCTCATGGCTGTGGTCACTTGCTTTCAAGAGCAGCTAGAAAGAAAGGCGCAATGCACAAGCACATCAGTGTCTGCTGGACCTCGTTGTCTCTATTTCATTGGCTAAAATAGGTCATACAGCCTCATCCATATTCCCTTGCTGAGATACAGTACAAAGACAGCATCATACCAGCATTGGCATAATTTGAGGTTATTGTTACAGACTACCACATATACCGACTCTTATCCCAGAGGGTCTCAAGACAACCTGCAATCTCTTAATAATGGTGGGATGTGATCATTGAATTTCCTGCAAACTATCATGTAAATTAGCATATAGGTTAAAGAAAGTGCCTACTTGGGAAAATTTCCTAAGCTGAACTCTGGGGAATGCATGTCCCCTATCTTATGAAGGAGGTTTGCCTCTTAATCAATAGGTGCATTCCCAATTTCTAAAAAGACCAAATAGTAATCTGCTTCTGTTCTCACTAGCATATAAAATTCAACACCATTTACAGTAGAGCCTCGAGTTATGATCAAACTGACATATGAACAACTTGGGTTACGACAGGAATTTGAGTTTTAACTTACCACCAAAGTCTTTAGTTATGACCTGAATACAGGCTGCTCGTGCTTCCAAATGGTCTCAGATACAGATTTAACCTGGAACAGTTCTGGGAGGAACATGACAGTATCCTTCCCTGTGTGGGGTAAATTGCAAAATCCTGGTCCAGTGTCTCTCTAAGGACACTGAGACCTGCCTGTGTGCAGGAGAGACTTTAAAGGCTGTGCAGAGGAGCCTGAGCCTTCATTGACCAATTTGAGTTACAACCAGCCCTTGAGAACAATTCTTTCTAATGCCATACATATATTTTAAGGGGTCAGCTTTGATAAAGACAAAAATCTTGCTTAGTACAAGTTGACTAAAACATTCCACCCATATTTTCCAAAATTAGAAAGATTCAATTTCTGTAACTGAGGATGCCAAAGGCTAACCATGAGAACCACAGGAATTTCTGAAGTAATGACAAGATGCCTGATCCAGAATTTCAGATTTAGTAGCTCAAATTCTCATTTTCTAAGATGCTTTGAAAATGCACTTTTGCACAGGAAAACATATCTCAGTATATCTTTCTCCTAAGTAAATGCATGGCTACAGAACATAATTATATTTTAAGAAATGTGATTTTTTTCTTAAAAAATAAAATCTTTTAAAAATAATGTGTTTTAGCCTTAAAAAAAAAAACAAATTTGGTTAGTTTCAAGAAAATGAGTCAACAAGATTACAGTGGTAGAAAGTGTTCAGCGGGCCTCACACGTGTACTGTGGTGGGAAAGACACTGAAGCTCTATGGTTGTCCAAGAAGAGACCACTGGTGTGGACTGCGGGTAGGAAAGGACAGGCAGGCAAAGACGGAAAGGAACCACAGGTGCAGAGGTATCATTAGGGAGATTCCAGGCTAAATCCAGTCTCTTCCCGCAAGTCTGCAGGAGGTCATAAACATGTTTACTAGGTTTAAAAATAGATGGCTCTTTCTGGGCTCCAGCGTGGCTGGTTAGTGAAGGCTGTGTGGAAAACCTGGGAGGCAAAACACCAGGTGATGGGGCTCTAAAGCAAGAGACCATGGGGCTGGGGATTTAGCTCAGTGGTTCTGCCACCTGCCTTGCAAGCGCAAAGTCCAGAGTTCCATTCCTGGTACACACACACACACACACACACACACACACACAACATGCACACACAAACAAGAGACCATCACGCTCAGATACAGAAAGGTAAAGTGGGCCATGAACACTCCAGATCAAACCAAGGATCTAGGTTGCGGGAAAAGGGAAGTGGGACGGCCACAGATCCACACTTCCTCCCACAGTTACCCTGCAAACCCCCATCTTGGAGCCTAGCTAACAGTCCGAGGCAGGGAGGCAGGCTGCAGAGGCCGGGCTGGGGGTAGGCGCCCTGTACTCTCCCTCGCACCTGACAGAGGAACCCAGCTCGGGGTAACTCGGGGAAGTCACGGACTGGAATCAGAGAAGGAGAAGCCAGCAACACCTTTTAAAAAGGCAAGCCCTCCCATCGCGGTCCCTAACTCCAGGGAGCACTATGTCCCTCTCATGCTACCCCCTGCGCTGTCCGTGGTGGGCAAAGGAAACTAACACTGCGAACTGAGGCAGCTCCGGGCTCACCGATGGGGTTCTGAGGGTCAATCCCTAGGGCCATGGGGCGCAGGGAGAGACTCGACCTGACCAGGGTGGCGCTTTCCTCTTCTTCCCCAAGCAGCAGATGGGAGTGGCTATAAAATCTGATGGACCCAGGCAGCACTGGCGGAACTCTGAATCCCGGCCAGGGACGGTGAGTGCGCTGATACAGGACCGGAGAGCTTGGGAGTCCAGCCTCAGCTAGTCCTCTTCTTCCCAAAGCAAGGGCAAGGATCAGACATCGGACAGAGACCAGTGTCGGCAGCCGGCCATACCCAAGCACAGCCTTCTCACGGTTGAGATGGACAGGGGCCAGCAGCCCGGAGGTGGGGGGACCCAGCTTGGCCTCCTCAAGGACCCGTGGACCCCGGCTGCCCAGCGTCTGCTTGTTTCCTTGGTTCTGTATGTCTTCTGGGTTCTCTTTGGGTTTTTCTTTTCTTTTAGTGTTTCCTTCTTCAATATGAAATTTGATTCTATTTTTTATTTGTAAGGTTTTTTACCGTTATTTTGCTGTCTGTAACTTTCTTTTTAAAATTTTTCTTTCCTCTCTGTTCTTTTTGCTTCATCCTTCCTCATTTCTCCTGCCTGACAGACTTTCCCAAATGTATTGAGTGCAAATAA